AAACAAAGCAGCAGAGAACCAGTCTGCCATAAAGAAGGACAAGCTTGAGATAGTTCTAGCTAAATGAATGCACATTGAAGCCATTCTCTTAAGTGGAATAAATCGACACACCTGTAAACACTGTATTGTTTTTCTGGTGTGAGAAGCCAAAAGTGTAGTTAAGGACCAAATACGTATAATAGATAATGCGAAATAGGAGAAAATATTCAAATGGAAAAAGGAAATAGGGATGGGAGAGGAGAAAGGAAGCAGGGGAAAAGGAAAAAATGATGAGAAAAGAAGGAAAAAAATAGAAAAGTTTTTGTAAATGAGGGGAGAAGGAGTTGTGGGGAATTAGAAAGGCATGCGTTATATCATGCACAGATCTCGTTTAATCAATGTGATCATTATGTACCAATAAGTTCAATTAATAGAAAAAAATAAAATTTGAGGGAAAAAAGTGAGACACAAAGAGAAATGAAGAATAAAAGCATTAATAAGTGAATCCATAGAAGATGCTTCCCCATTGTAGAGATGTAGATGAGTTACAGAAAATGAGCAGGCCGAAGGTTCTGAAGGTAGCCTTTTTGTAATAACAAAATGGGAATTGTTGTCACTAGTGCAAGTCTGAGATCTTCTGGAAGTCGAAGCTGAGACGAGACGCTTGGGGGTTCGCTGACTTCCTTACTAGAAAGAGAATCACCAGGACTCCTCAGAAAGAGGCAGAGGAGGGTTTATTAGGCTGAAATTTCAGTGTACAGTCAAGAGTAGTACAAGCCTCAGAGAAATGGTTTTATTATTTCCTGAAAAAGGGGACATTTATGTTCTCTTGAAGGGCTGGGATTCCTGCTAAGCCTCTCGTGCCTGCCAGCTGTAGTAGTCTCGCCTGTAGCGATGGGCCCAGGTTGCGGCTTTTGTTTATTAGATGCAATTTAAACATTCTCTGGATTCTCTGAGCCTGTTCCTTGATCCTAGGATTTGGTGCCTGCTGGTTACTTTCTCAGGGGAGCCAAGTGGAGAACTTTCATTATTCCTGAGGTGTTTTGGGCGCGAGCATCTGGGTTATGGAATCTCAGCTCTAAGCTGGGAAGGAAGTCTTTGCTTGCTCCTTGGAGACCCCCGTCTCTAGTGCGCAGAGCCTGGGACCCTCGTGGCGCCCACATCCCCTGCAGAGAGGGTGAAAGATTTTCCTGGTGGGGTGGGGGACTGGCATTCCATGAGTGGGATCGAAGCTTGTTCCTTTAAAGGATTTTAGGCAGCCGCACAGTTGGCCGGCAGGAGCCACAGCAAGAGGTTAGGGCAGATTTCCTGTGTGGAGAGCAGTTCTGAGAGTCAGCTGGGTGCTTGGGCTGTGCCTCTGGGGAGGCCCAGAAGGCCCTGCATGCCCAAGCCTTAGCGCAGTGGATGGAGGTCCAGGCCGTCAGCCACGGATGCTTGTGTTGCAGCTACTTAAAAATAATATCCTCAGATTTGGACAGGAACCTGTAGATGCTGTCACATGGTCACCATTTACTCTTCTGGGTCAAGGTTGGTTTGAAACTGGCGTGAAAACGAGATGCAACTGGAAGCAGAAGCCAATGGACACTGTGTGTTGGGTGAGAGCCTGCGTGTTCATGCAATACACTTGTTGTTAGTAAAGCTGTAATTGAATGCTGCGTCCTTCAACCCATGCGGGCAGAATGTGAAAATTTTTATAGAATGATATAAGAAATTGAAATGTATTATTAAGAAATATAATTAAGCAATGTATTATACAAATACATGTCACAGGTTACTGCATTCAACAAGTCGGTTGAGATTTCTTTTTAAAAATTTTAAAAGTACACAAAATTATGGACAATAAGACCAGAATCGGTAGGCAATTGCACTCTTAAATTTTTCTTCAGAAAGAGTTGTGATTTACAGATCTGTGTCCTTTAACAGGAGCTGGTAAATAATAGAACAGAACAAAAAAATGGAAGCAATGAGATAGGCTAATGCATAGTGGTGCTTCTCAAACCGTCCTCGAGTAGGTGGTAAAAATACTGGAATGTGCATAGGCAAGAAAGAGAGAAAGAAAAGCGAAGAGAGACCTCACGTAATTGATCGAAGAGCGAGCTAAAGGTTAGCATCTCTCCCTTCATCCTGGCTCTGGTTCTGAAAACAGAAAGATTAAATAGATTGATTTAAGCAGATATGCTTTGAAATGTCATAAACGATGCTGCTTCTGCTGCGTATTGATAAACTGCCCGAGTGCATCGCTGGCATTTCAGTTCTACTCACAGCAAGAAGAAGCGAAAGAGAAAGGTCCTCCTTCCCCCCGGCTGTCCCAGGAACTTCCTGAACAGCATCTGTGCGTGCACGCAGGCAGCTCTACACCCTCACACACTGGGTAAAAAGGTCCCCTGTGGGGCGCCTCGGTATTCCCTCGGCAGATGAACAGGAGACATGGCCCGTGACCAGCTGATCTTCATTATTTAAGTCACTGCTGTATTGTATCAAAACAGCAACTAGCCAGAAATGCTTTATGCCCGGAACCCATTTTCTTGGTGGGGGATTTCTAAGTCTATTCTGCAAAATTTCACTGAGGTGGAGCAGCGACATCATTCTGTGACTTCAAACAAACAGCCACCCTGCTGCCACCGATCACCATTCCTGGGATGGCGGTGATTGAATTTAGCACTTAGAGCAGTTGAATTGGCACGCAGATCTGTCACGCATTCCCTCCCCGCGGCAGGTACCATCTGATGTGCCCAGAGGGCGCCCGGCTCCTCACACATGCTCGCATTCTGCTGGAGAAGCGAGTTCCAAATAGATAAGCGAAGCCAGCCTTGCTGTGGCTTAGTAGACAGTGGGTGTGTGCGCTGGTCCTGCAGGGTCTCGGTCCTCATGTTCCTGCGTGTCCCATGTCCCTAAACTCACAGCAAATCTCAGCTCAGAGTTCCAGTTTGCTTGCTGAGGAAAAGTGTTAGGAATCTGCTCGGTGATGCACCTGCCTCAGTAAATCAAGCACTGTCCAGGAGAGGGGAACTTGGAAGGATGAGCTCCCTGGAGCCGGAGGTCTCTGAACTCCTTCTCTTCTCGGGGTGTTCTGTGCTCCCTGTGGCTAGAGCAGTCCCTTGGCCTGCACAGAAAGTCCAGGTTGTCGTTTTTCTGCTGAGTTAGAAGCAGCAGGTCTGGCCGGAAGTTCTAGGTTAGGAGCTCCAGGAGCGAAACAGACTTCAACAAAAATCCCAGAGCAGACACCTCCACTGCACTCCTCTTGAAGCAGTGAGTGGGCGTGGGGAAGCCAGAGGCAGGGGCGGGCTGCACTCCGGGTGCATCTTCCTGGGCATCCTGGCCTGCCTGTGCCTCATGTACAGGCAGATTCTGGTCTGCTGCAGGCCACAAAGTAGCTCCAGCTGCCGCAGGAGCCTGACATTGAGATGCACCGAGAAGGACTACATCTGCTCCCCGCCAACTCCCTTTTCCTGTAGTGATCGTGTTCAGTCCTAGTGAGAGTGCAGGTTCGCCGCAGCTCTGTCTTTATGTTCTCCGGATTGTGTCAGCTAGGGTACACTCGAAGATTTACAAGGCCTTCTTTTTTTGGTCTTTTTGGGACAAGGTTTCTTTATTCAGTACAGGCTGGCCTTGAGATCACTTCGTAGCCGTCTGGTCCCGAACTCACAGCAATCCTCCTTCCTCAGTGCTGGGATTCTGGGGCGCACCAGCACACCCCAGCACAAGGCATATTTTCTGTGGCCCCTGCAGGGTGGGTGTGCAAGACTGCCAACGGACCTCTTTGCACCGGACAGCTGGGGAATTCAGTTAAAAGTCCAAGTCCTAGAGCTGCCAGCAGAGCCTGCGCCAGCCTCTAGCAGGATGCAGAGGGATCTGGGCTGGCAGGCTGGAGGCAGAAGTCCAGCCGCAGTGTGGAGCCTGGAGCCCCGCTGAGGAAGCTGCAGGGAGAGCTGATTCCTTCCCTTCTTCTTCTGCCCGGGTACAGGCCAGGCACAGAGGGCTGCACACACACCCCTGCACGAGCCCACCACCCGGACACATCCACAGCTCTGCTAGCCCGATCTCCTCCATGTTTCCTGTTTAAGTTGACACGACAACTTACCACTGCATGTACTGACCCCGGAACAAATTCTGAACTCTTAATCAGTGTGTCCTGATATTTGAAAGGAAGAGTTAAATTGTCTGATTTTATCTGACAAAGGTTGAAAGCAGTAATAGGATAAATATCAGGAGGGAATCTGTTGAGAACGTCATGCCATCCCTCTCACATGGCTCCTTCCGGGATGCCTTCCTGATTCCAACTTCATATTCTTTCTGTCACAGAGGCCTTTCCATCCGCCAAATTCCACAAGCTTTGGATTGCCGAAAGCCTGGATGTGCCCCTCTTAGCACACTGCTGCTCAGCCAGTGTTGCAGACTGGCTTCTGTCCAGTGCCTTTCCTAAAGACTGTGAAGTCAGAAAAAAAAAAAAAAAAAAAAAAAAAACAGCTAAAACCACGCTCACAAAAAGGAGAAAGGAAAGATCACTGTGCTAATATCGAAGATCCACATGCTAATTTATATGTAATTTGTTTATTACCTAATTTTACTCCACCTAGCAGTGATTTCTGGAAAGCAAGGAGCATTTACCCACCATGCCTTTGAAGAGACGCAGATGCTGTGCTCCAGAGAGGTGCAGCCACCTGCTCTGTGGTTGGGCCAGGGAGAGAGGTGGGAGGGACCCGCCACCCATCCCACCGCTCTTGGTGGAGCACGTGTTTGGCAGTTCTGCCAACTTTCTCCCAAGCATTGAGCCTCCTGGTGTGAGGGATGCACAGAGTGTGCTAAATCTTGCTGCAGGGTGACAGGGACAGTCTGGATGGGAATGCCAGATCTTCGGGAAGGTCTACCAATATCCCCCGTCAAGGCAGTGAGGACTTTAACAATCCATTCAGTTAAGTTAAGCACCCATTAGAGGAAGCCTAAGCCCTCCCTTGGGCCGGTTCAGCTCTATGAGAGGATAATTGTTTGTGACTAACCATGAGTTCCTCTCTCGTCTGCAGGTGATTCTCATTCTGACGAAGCTCTATGACTATAACCTGGGGAGCATCACGGAGAGCTCACTGTGGAGGTACGTGGACAAATGGAGGCAGCAGCAACCGTGCGGCTCACGCAGGCTGCCTTGGGGGTCTCCGGCTCTGCGCACCCCTTTCTTGCTCTGTGCCTGCATTCTGCAGTTTTCTTACTGATGGGCTGGGTTTCCTCTCCAGGCCGGCCAAGGTATGGCCTTCTTTACAGAGCCCCATGTCTGCCAGGGAGAGTTTTGTGCTGTGGTGTTCAGTGGGCTGTGCACACCTTTTGGCTCCCGTGATCCTCAGTGATACAGGAGCTTTTGAGCAGAAGGGAAAGCACAAGGCCCTTCATAGAGGTGCCCCACGCAACCCTAGGTGTGCGGAAGTCAGGCTGCCTAGCAGCTGTGTCCTCCTGCAGCTTCCTTTGCAAGGTCTCATGGCTCAGGGCAGCACACAAGTGAGAGTGTCACACAGATACATATACACCCTGGTGGCTGTGACTCAGTGTCGCCTTGTCCCTACAGGGAGTGTGAAAAAGTCTTTAAACAGCCAGGCTTGTGCTCCATGGGGATACACCCTCCTGTGGAACAAGAGCACAAAGATACAGCCAAGCTGCCAAGAGTGAAAACCAGGAGAAAACGGCCTCCTCAGAAAACAAGCTATCTGCTTCTATCTATCTCTGAAAGTCTGCTGTGTTTTTCTTACTCCTAATGGCTTTTTCCTGTCAGTCGGTGTCTAATCTGGAGCCTGGGAGGGGAGGGAGCTTTGGTTAATCGTATGACCCTGACAGTGCCCAGCATGGGGACCGGATCAAGATGACCCTAGGGATAACCAAAGTGACTTGAGTGTGGGGAGTTTCGTGGGAGCCTGGATAGAAGTGGAATCCTGTGGCCATGCGGTGCTTAGTGCTTACTGTATGGCTTAAACTCAGTAACTGTTGATCAGAATGTTCATGACGCTGTAAGCTTGAGCTTCCTGCATGGGCTTCCCCACTGATAGTAAGTATAGAAGAATGAAGGCTTTTTTCTCCAGGGCATCTGCCGTTACAGGGTCGGTGGCATATTACAAACTTGGAAGGCATGCATTTTTGTCTCAAGGAGCAGAAGCCTCTAGAAGTCATCAGCCTGTAACTGCTCAGAGGGAGGGATTTGCCACTGAGCCAGAGGGATAGGCCAATGCTTGGACTCCGGGTGCTTCTGCCCTCTGATGGGGCCGAGAAGAAAATTCTGCCCAGCCTAGAGGAGGAGGAGCTCCCGGAGTGAAGCACTACGGCATCCTGTCAGTGTGAACCTCTCTCCTGAGCGTCAGCCTCTGGTATGAAGTGTGGGAAGGAGCACCGAGCATGCCCTGCTGCCTTCTCAGTGTGTGGGTGTGCGTGTGTGTGTTGTTAAGTAAAAGTAAAGCATATGCCTGCGGATATTGCGTGTGCTTTCCTAGTACGCCCGCAGTGTGCATTCGCTCTGTAATGTCACATCCTGGGTATATTTACTAAAGATGGGTTTGATGACCATTTTAGTTCTCCAACAGAAAGGGCAAGCACCCATCTTTGAGAAATAGTCATCTGAAGAAAGAAAAGAGGGTCAGGATATGATGGCTCAGTTCTGTAATCCCCCTTCTTCTGGAGCCCAAGGCGGGACGATTGTGAGTTCAAGGCCACGCTGGACAATTTAGCACAACTGTGGCTCCAAAAAGTATTTCATTAAAGAAGGCCAGAGGCTCAGCTCAATGGCAAAATCCAACCCTTGGCACTGGGTAGGAGGAGGAGGAGGAGGAGGAGGGGCATGGGGAATAAGAAGGACTGTGCTTTGCAAGGCCTTCATGAGGACGTGGGTTCCCGGGCTCCTCATGCTGCCCACAGTGGGGCTGGAAGGACCTGCCAGAGAGTGCTGATTCAGGGGGAGAGTGCAGCACTTTGGATAGCCAGAGGAAAGACTCAAAGGAGAGTGTCTCATGGCTCTGAGTGATCTCCTTAAGCCCTGCCTTAGAGAAAACCCATCGCCAAGTGTCAGATCCTTTCTTCTGCACCAGCTCAAGGATACTACATCGAGAACATGCTTGTGCAGAAGCTTTGGTACTGGGAGCCCAGGACAGAGTTCAGAGCTCCTTGGGCATGCTGTGGACTGAGCACAGGCCCTGGAGCTAACCCAAGGTGCTGTGCAGGCCAGAGAAGGCAGCCCAAGTAGCAATATATAAGTTTTTCCCATTCATTTGTATAACGAGCAGGTATCGATTAATTCCTTAAATAGCTCTGTGAATTATTCTGGCCCAGGGAGAGAGGATGGACATGTTCATGTGTTCAGAGCACAGAGCCGTGCCCATCATGTGTGCACTTCAGATGTGCATGTGCAAGCAGTGTTACATTTTCTTGGTTCATTTCTATGGAGTGCCAAGTAGCACAATTAGTGTGTCGCATTCCTCAGACTTAGGTATGTTAGTAACTCCATAGAAGAAGTGCTTTCCTGTGTCCCATCGATTCCATTATAAGACAGACTATATTACATATTTATAAATAAACTACATGTCATTGTCTAGTGTCATATTATATATGAATAGCATGTTCAAAGTGTTGTGACATTCTCATCAGCACTTTTCCTACTTTTGGAAAATATTGGGCAAGAGAAAAATGACTTCCTGCCCAAACGCTAGATGCAGGCAGCGTTCAGGTGAACCCTGATTCTTTCACAGTGAACAGTGGCATAGTGAGAAGCTGGGGTCACACATGCCCTGGGAGTCAGAAGAAGCGAGAGGCCAGGAGGCACTGGGCCTGCTGCTGATGTCATGGGCCTGCAGCCTCACCCGTGAGCCCCACACGAGGGACAGCACCACAGACCCAGTTAATGTGCTTCGGCTCTCCCTGGTGTTGTCACTGATGACACCTTAATCCTGTCGCCCCTGCTGAATGTGTGTGGCCTCTTGCTGCTGTTCACCGGGGAGTCCCGTGAGGAGGAAAGGGGTGAGCTGCCCCTCAACAATTACCCATCACTTCAGCCCCACCTCGGATTGGATTAGGTTGGGAGATTTGTGGTGTTGGTGCTTTTACCTTGTTGCAGCAAGATAAGCTTAAAGGTTGAGATAAATAAAATGTCGAAATCTAGATACAGTATCTCTGAGAAGAAATGTATTCGTCCTTTCCTCTCTTATGCTGGAGCAATCAGCCCTCTGCTGGAAGCGTCCTCGCTGGAGAGGGAGCCCTAGGCAACTCCCGAGGAGCGGCGAAAGTGCAGGCTCGTGGGGGGGCGCACACCCTCCCGCGGTGCCCCCATTTGATGTACAGGCTCCCTGCCAAGGCTGGCTGGCAGATCCTGCATCCCCTGCTCAGACCCTCAGGAGACGCAAGCAGGCTTCCAACTATGCCCTTGTCGAGCAGCAGAGCTCGCTTTGGGGACACAAAGGAGCATGTGCTTGGCGTGAATGAGTTAAGCTTCTTAAGTGCTTCTGCACTGGTCGCCAGCCCCATTTCCCCTGTTCTCAGGAGACGCATAGTGATTCTCCAAAGAGGCTTCCGGGTAGCCTGCACAGAGTCCGTGCTGTGGGAAGCTGGAAGCAGCACTGGGGTCTGAGCTGCTGGGACCAAAGGAAGCTAGCTCCAGGCTGGGAGCCTGCAGGGCTCCATCTGCTGGAAGGCTCCTCCTCTTCCCAGGCAGGCCAGGGTGGGTGAAGGCAGGGCTGCTCAGGGGCCCATGGGTGGTCTCTGCTGATGTTGCCCTGTGGAGTCCAGTTTTCACTGAGCCACAAACCCAGCGCTGTTGAACATAACTACACACCTTAAAAATGATATGTGTGATAATTTCCCATAGTGAGAGTTCTTCAAGTTATGCGCTACCCTGGCACCTCCATAACTGGGCTGACAAATGCTTAGCACCTCCCAGAGATGCTGGGAGGCAGCCAGGCTCCCGCGCAAGGTCAGGCAGCATTTTGAATTGTGGTGCTTTGCATTCTGGGTCCTTTTAAATTTTGTAACACTGGAACTCATCCCATTTTTTGTTACGTCATGGTGCTGCTTGTAGTTCCTGACTTACTATTATTTATTTTACCTTGGCTTACTATTATTTAGAACTTATGTAGACTAGAGCTTATCATTTTTGAAATCCCCCAAATGATGAATGTTCATTTCAGTGAGTGAAAAAATGCAAAAGATGAAACAAAGTCAATGTCTTCTGTCTTCTTACTCAGATCCAGTGTTCCTGAGGTCAGAGGTGCTGCCAATTCTGGATGATTCTGTCCATATCTTTAGGACCCAATGTAAAAAGGAACTGTTATGTACATATGCTAGTATTATGTTTTGTGTTGAAGAACGTAGGGGTATACTACGCGCCGACCTCCCGCAGTCAGGCGCATTTCACGGATCACCAAGGCAAGGGTGCCTGTCCAGGTGAGTGTACTTGCAGAAACAGGTCAGAGTTGTTGCCTTAGCCCAAGCGCGTGAATGCTGCGTGCTGAATTAGACAGCTCTGTGCTTCATTAGCTTCTTCAGTGCTCCCTGGGTACCAACAGAGTCCCAGGGCTTTTACTCTCATGACAACTAAAACAAATAGGGATTATTCATATTCCTGGTTTTCAGAGAAGAGAAGTTAGACTTGGAAACGTTAAGGAGCATGGTCAATGGTCATTCAACCTGGGAAGCAGCAGAGCTGATGTTGAATTCTGTTTTCTTTATATCTACGCTTCCTCACTTCTTCTATGCCATTTCTATGGCTTTATGGTGAATTCCTTCAGTATTTGATTTTTATATATCATGTTTCAATGAATGTATTTGTACAATATTCTTATGTTTTGTTAACTTTATCCCTGCCAAGTCCCAAGTGTTAAATCATGGTATCAGAAATGTATGCATTTATAAGGCACTGTAAATACATATTTGAGATTTTCTTCTAAGAAGATTGGAACACTATAACCACAAGCAATAAAAGATTGTCCTTAGGGCTGGCCAAATAGCTCAGCAGATTAAAGCAACTGAAAGTAGGGGCAGGGACCGGGGTTTTGATCCCTGGGCCTGCTGTGCCATCCCCACCCCCCAGGGCACACTGAGAAGGCAATTGAGACTGGGTGTGGTGGTGCA